GTCTTTATTTGGGGCGGTAAATTTGAGATCGAAGTCGGTGGTTCGCACGTGACCTCGTGCCACCATGCTGGTGGAAGTGTTTAATAGATATCTCATTAGCTCCTTTTGTTCGTCTACCAGCATTTAAATTTGACCCGCACACGTCAACAGTGAGTGACAAATGAGCCTAGCTAGGTCTTCCCAGGGAAGACTTCCTTATATAGCGCGCCTTCGTGTTTAAGAGCGTACGTTCTTCCCTCTCGACTGTAGGCGTTGGCAGACCTCGACGAAACTGGCCTAAAAATTTAGTTCTCATAGATAAGGTTCTTCTTTATCGGCTAAATACCTCGGTTGAGTCTTTCTAAACAGAGAGCGCGGAAGAAGCTGTAGGATGAAAATCGGTGGAACTCTGGGAAAGAGCAAGTGTCATTTTACGTCCCAGTCTCCCGTCGTTTTTCTCCAACGTGTTCACTGTTAAGCACAGACCAGGGAAGAACTAGCATGGCTGCCTGTTAATTCATCTTTTGTGTAAAGTGGCTTGGCTGTTGTAAATGCTAGGCCAACATGGGCTTTTTTGAGTAGTCGTTGTTGGATGATCCAGTGTTGTTTCAAGTAAATCCCTTGTTTTTAATTTCAGGTGTGTATGTAGATAATCTGTCGGAGTATGTTGTTCGGGATACAGGTGAAGTTCTCTCCTTGTTGAAGCAGGGGAGAAAGAAACTCATCTTTGCTGAAACACGAATGAACCGCGTCTCAAGCAGGTTAGTTTTTTCCAACAGTTCAGTGCCAGCCACACCCGTGTTGCTAAAATCATGAGTACACCATACGACGCAAAATGACGCATGCTGTGGGAACGAGCAATTTCCTTCTGCGAAAATAACGTACACTGTGCATCAGAGACGTACCCGCTGCGCAAACTTGTTTGCAACGTAGAATTACCCGCAGCGAAAACATACATGCTACATAAATTTACCTCCCTGCGAGGCCTCAGAAAGGGGAAAAAGAAACAGCAAAAACACAAAACATTGATCCCTTTTTTTTTTCTTTTGTTGATGTGAGTTGTTTTGATCGAAGGGACGGTGGCCTGTTCACTTAGATTTCCCAGTCATATCACAGGTAGCCCAAGCTCGCAAAATGAGCCTCCCTAAATATGCAACTATGTTTACGCTGTGCACTGAGTAATGTAACGATTTTTATGGGAATAAACGGTCGCGCTCTCGACTCAGAAGAATCTGAACTAGTTTTAGCTCGCTTGAGCGACTGTTCCTTTACATCTTGTGAGTTTCTTGGACTGATTTAGGACCGGTTAGCTCGCTTTTAGTTAATCTTCCTTTCCCTCTATAAAATCCTTTCGAAAGGTCGTATATTATGCGTCGCACAAAATTAGGCAGCTTGAAAATTACGTGTACGTTATGCGGCTTTATTACACGACTCGGGCAGTTAGAGGGCCAATAACTAAAATCAACCGATCAAAATGCTCTATTGCCGGTAATTATTCTCTAAGTATTGGACCGGGCACTGTCCCGAATGGTCCCGAATGATAACGCACTTGTTTCCCTTTGAACTTCAGTCGTATAATAAATCTCTTATTAACCAAGCTTGCTCGGGACCGTACTGGAAGAATATCGGCCCTCGGTCTTTTTTGTACGGACCTCGCTGCGCTCGGTCCGTATTGTCAAGACCTCGGGCCGATATTCTCCCAGTACGGCCCACGCTCTTGGTTAATAAGATATATTTATTAGAGCCGCGTTAAATAAGGCAACGATTATTTTCTCTTTTTGACGTAATGGAATTGAAGACACTGTGTGCGCAGCTAGTGCTATTGCACGTGGTTGTTCATAATGAATTGCAAAACTCTTCCCTACAAAGGTATATAACTTTACAAGAAGTCATCACTTCTTTACTTCTTTACAAGATACTTCTTTACAAGTATACTTCTTTACAAGTATACTTCTTTACAAGTATACTTCTTTACAAGTATACTTCTTTACAAGAAGTCATCACTTATCCAATAATTTTGTTTTCGTTTCACTGTAGATCTCACTCAGTTTGTCAGATAACTGTGGAAAGAACGCGCGCTAAAGACGGTGACAAAGCAGGAGCAGAAGGTAGAGATACGTATGAGCAGGTTTGGCCATCGATATCCATTGCTCGTCAGCGGGAAATTTCTCAGGAAACAGGCACAATTTTATATCTCCAAACCGCACCGAATAGTAACGCGGTGAAAAAACATTAACCCTAACCCTAGAAAATCCTTGGAACGTTGACGAAAAATCGGCCGCCCCCATAGATTTAAGTTAAATTGTGAAAACTTGTTCATTGCACAGAAATAAAATTTCAAGCCACAGTTATTAAAAATTATGAAACAATAGGGACTTTCCGAAGTTGATAACTCTTACTGGCCATGATTTAGTATTTTTGGCAAGTAATGCTTGTACAAATTCCCTCCGTTATGCTCTACACAGAACTTATACTGCAAGTAAAATAAAGGAGCAGCCCTTAGCTGACATTTATATGTTCTTGGTACCAGGTTCTTCCAGCGAGAGCAGCCTTCTGTCTCCCTCCTCCGCCATGACACCCCCGTCACGGAAGAGTATGCGATCCACCGGCAGTTTAGACCGACTTCGCGAAGAAGCCAAACCTCATAGCAACACCGCACCTTTAAAAAAAACTTTCAGGAAACAGCAGAGCTTCATACCGCGCAGAACCTCCACGCCAGCTTCCAAACGCAGTCTGTCACGCAATAACGATTACAGACACAGCTTTCATTTATCGTCACTTCCAGAAATTACGGTTACGCCTGATCGGCCGAACCGCTGGTCTGCAGGGGACATGACTGGTAGTTTCACGGGCTCAGGGGAGTCTTTGCCGTTCTCAGCGAGTGCTTCGCAAGGGAGTGATCTGCAATGTTCTATGGAATCTGAACTGGAAAGCAGCACTGAAAGTGAAGGTTGGCTGGTAAGGCTGATTTTTATCCAACGTAATTTTCTCCGAAGATTAGGAAAATGAGAGTTTTTCCTTTTTGCGTACCTAGCTTGTGTGCCTTTCATAGTCTCTTCAGATATTTGCCGTTTTGCAAACTTTTTTTTATTATTATTATTGAGATACAATGAGTATATGAAGATCATATATTTTGAACTACGTTATTAGATACGTATGATGCACGATCCTCGCAGTAGATAGCGCTATTTAAGCAATAGCGAAAATCAGACCTGCAAAAAATCAGGCCTGTACGGCCTGACTTTAGTATCGCAGAGGTCAGTGGTTCGAGTCCCGTACAGGCCTGATTTTTTTCAGGTCTGATTTTCGCTATTGCTTAAATAGCGCTATCTACTGCGAGGATCGTGCATCATACGTATCTAATAACGTAGTTCAAAATATATGATCTTCATATACTCATTGTATCTCAATAATAATAATAAAAAAAAGTTTGCAAAACGGCAAATATCTGAAGAGACTATGAAAGGCACACAAGCTAGGTACGCAAAAAGGAAAAACTCTCATTTTCCTAATCTTCGGAGAAAATGCCTCCAAATTTTAGTCCTTCTTTCTTTGTGCTTCAGTCAGTCAAGACTAATCGATGCATTCTCTTTTAGAGCGCTCCTAGCAGTCCTGATATTCCAGAATATGGCTTTGGAGAGGTAAGTATTGTCAGCTTTCCAGTCACTCTCACAAGCCAAGTGTAGTTGCACATCTTCGCCGGAGCATATCGCGCTCCCATTACATGAAGTGACGAGGAGTATTAGTAGCCCCGCTGCATGATATGTACATGTAATTCCAACAAGGTAGCCTCTATCCCTCCTTTCCGTTCCCTACCTCCCTTATCAATTCGTCAAGTATCGCGGAAATTTCTCTCGTAACTATACAGGCTCATATGCATAGAAAGACTGCGAGATTATAGTGTCTTGCCCAAGAACATAACAAAGTGAACCTGCCTTTCAAAAACCATGACTGTTATTTGAATTTAGAAAGACGACGACGACGATGATGAATCATTTTTGGAAGGAATCAAGATCCGTGATGATGTGCTGATCACAGGCAGAATTAACATGTAAGAACATGCGTTTTAAGGCCGCACAATTCTTTACAGTAGGAATCAGTCCTCTTGCCGAGAAAAGGCTGACAAACAGCAATATCGAACAACAGCTTAACGAGATCTTTTTTACAGCCATTTCGAGAAAGGAAAAAAAGTGTAAAAGAGTACACGACCCGAAAGGCATTGTGGGCAGTTTGCAGGCCACGATTCCTTGATCTCGGATTTCAGGGAGATCTGAGAAAACGTCACTGCTAGGACGAGGTATTGCGGGTTTGATTAATTATTCATTTGATTTATCAAAATTCGATGATTATCGGATACCCAGATTGCCTTTCGAGATTGTCGCGTGCACCTATGTCCTTTTTTCGGACAAACTCTCTCGAAAAAGCTGTACAATGAAACGCTATCTTTGAGCTGATGTCACTTAAACAAAGTTGAGCCTGTATGGCTAAATGCCAAGTGGAACAGAAAACTGTTTGGATGAAATGCCACAGCGGAATATAACGTACTTCTCACATCAACCAAAACGAATCAGCTAAATTTTTTCAAACATTACTTGACGCGTTTAAAGTAAATTCGATCTCTTCTAGATGCGACCTCGCAGGAAGCGAAAGAGTAAAAAAAGCTGGTGTGGAAGGAGAGAGGCTCGCTGAGCTACAACACGTGAACCTGTCTCTTTTGGAACTAGGGTAAGTTCCTTGTGCTCGCCATGCGTTTTTTTTGTTTGTTTGTTTGTTTCCCATGCCGGGTCATTATTTTTCGCTTGTGGGGGAGGGGGGGGGGGAGGTTCAGAGGATTTTGATTGTGTTACGACAAAATTTACTTGATCGCCCTATAACTTCTCATATGCATTGGCAGTTAATTGGTAGTCAATTTACTATAGTCCCCTCTTTATAAGCAGTTTGCAATGACTGATCTCCCCTCCGTTGTTCCCCCTGTGAATCATGTGATCCCCTCAGAAACCACCACTCCTAACCCCTCCCCCCTCCACCCCTCCCCCTTTGTGATGTATAATAACTGGCATGGTTCCTAAGGCTTCGTGAAGTTAAAGATTTGGTTAAGAAAGAGTAAACATTTTGGACACTATAAAAAAATTGCTCCATGTTGCGTGGAACTTATCCAAGTTTTTGTGGCAAGTTATTCCAGATGTAATTTATTTTAAACTTTATTTCTTATCGTTTCTCTTATAGCAACACAATTCACGCCCTGTCAGAAGGGAAGAGAACACACATACCTTATAGAAACTCTTCGCTAACTCGACTGTTACAAGACAGCCTCGGTGGGAATTGTAAAACAAGTTTTGTGGTAAGCTTCTCACATAAATCTCCCTGAAATCGCACGCTATGAAAGAATAAAACTACAACTTACATGAACTCATTGCGAGAAAACGTTTATACATTATTTTGTTCCTAAATTCGATCAAATAAACATTTGAATTTAGTGAATGGCAACCCTGCTGTCCTTTGCAGTGTTTGTTATGTTGTAATGCGAAGTGCGTCGCGCTAATTTGCTTTAAGACAGCAGACGACGGCAGTTTTATCAGGATTCGTAATTTTGCCCACACATTTTTGGCGCAAACCCACAATGAAATGGATAGTTAAGAGTTTTTTTCTCACAATGGGCTTTTTTTTGATTGGCAAGCAAGACTGACAGCTTGTTAATCCAATCATCTCGAGAAGGACTGGGCATGAATAACTGAGAAAAAAAAACGCTTTTAGGGAGGGGAGGGTATATTAATTTTTTGAGCATAGGCAAATGAAGCTGTCTCAGATAAAAGGTTTTCAAGCCGCTAATCTAAAGTCAATTGAATTTGAATTTCCGCGTTATACGCTACAATGCCTTTCATTGGCCAAGAGAAGATCCTGTTGTTCTTGGGGGTTGAGGTTAAGCCCTCGGAAAAGTCTCCAGGGAGTTAGGAAGAAGTCAGTTTGGAACGCCAAGGGTTTCGTATAGGTTGGTTTGTATTTTTGGCAAAGTTATTGGTCTCCACAGTGAAAGTTTGTCACCTGGTTGATTATCGACCAGAGATTGAATTGGATATTAGTGGATGAACCGTCGTAAATTAAGAAAAAAGCTAAGGTTTCGAAAGTAAGCGCCTCCCTAGAGCCTTTGCTTTCAGCTTTTCAATCGTTCTGTTCAAGCGACTGGACACTCGATCGAAGCCGTTTGCTTTTCAGAATTAGTCTCGATGATCTACATACCATCTAACTTCATCAATTTCTGGTCAAAAATCAAATGAGTATTATTTCCGTATGTAACAGAAAGGTGAAAAGTTGTTTCTCCCATATTACAGATGTGTATCTCGCCGTCGCTAAGGGACCTCAACGAGACTCGATGCACACTCGACTTTGGTCAGCGGGCGCTCAAGATTACCACCACAGCATATGTGAATATTGAGGTGAGAGAAACTTGAACGTTCTGTCTGTTGCCTGTTAGGTTAACGAAAGATTATTTTTAATCGTCGGATTCGGTATTTTTTGGTGTGATCGAATCCCTAAGAATTCCAAACGTGACGGCCTGTGCTCTGAACATCTTGCCGACGCTTTCAAGTTGATGGCGGCGGCTGATCACCCTCCTTTCTTCCCAAAACCATGTCATCACCGCCACCCCCCAAAAAAATAAATAAAAACCTTCATCCTCTCCCCTAAGCGGTAAATAATTATTACTATAGTTCCTAAAAAAAAGGGACTGGGAAAGACTTCATAAGGAGAAAAACTGAACATCAATGATAGAAACAAAATACATGACTGAGCAAAAATTAAACGACTGGCAACAATGCTAACAGCTAACTGAAAACACATTAAAATGAAATAAACAAAACTACCAAGGGGCAATAAGACACTTCTTGTCTGATTCTCTTCGTTCTAAATACATTTTTCAAACTGAGCTTCATTTATATCGGTTAGTGCAATTTAAACTCGTGTCCAAATAACCCAAATTCGTTGAATTAAATTCGTCTTAACCCGCTGCACTGAACCTTAACAGTCCTTTAGGACATATTCGCTCCGAGATATTTAATGTTTTTTTCTTCCTCAGCAAATTAAAATTTACGTCATCCTAACCTCTACAGTGTTTTTTTTTTTTTTCCGTTTCCCTCTCAAAGATGCAAAAGGCTGCAATACAACTCTTTGAAAGATTCGTCATGTGGTATATTATGGTCATTCTAAAACTCTCGGTATAGTAGTTTCACAGCGTGATATATTCCTTACTGCGAACTCTTTTTGTCTTAAAACGTTGCTAAGCATATTATTTTGCTGCCACAATGACTTTGGAATCGTTGCTCCTAGCATGGTCGCACGCCATTTCCACGAGGCGACGTTTATTTACAGGTTGTGGTGGCCATTTGTAAGTGGTTGATTTTAGAACGGTTAGAGCCAATTTAAAAATGCGATAAAAGAAATCATAAATTGATGTCTTGTGTTTTGACTTTACATCGGTAGAATTTGTCAAACTTGTCAGACTTCTCAGAGTTACTTTCGTGATGAATTTGTTAGAGCAAAATTATTCAACTCGTCTCCCTTGGTTTGATTCGTCTAAATTAATATGTGATCGAAGATTTTAACTTAACCTCGAATTTTTTACGAAACGTTCTTTTCGATATTTTTTGTTAAAAACGAAGAGTAAGTAATTTTTGAAGCCTCAATGGCTCAATTACACAGTTAATCTTCTTCTTCCGTGTTTTTGCAAGGATTCAAAACACCAAATGTGGTTCCTAACCTTATGATTATTTGCAAGTATAATTTACGTCAACAACTTTCTTTTCATTTGAGTACAAATTCGGTCGGAAGTAAGTAGTCATTATTGTCAGGTATACCACAAACAGTCTGTCAAATTCTGTTGTTTTTCAAATAATGTCTTTGCGGTTGTACGCTCGTGTGAGGATATCTACGCCACTAGCTCTCCTACGACGAATTTTGTAAGTATCCCCTGTGAAATTGTTGACAGGATATATAACAAAGCCATAAATTTTATGTTCCTTTGATAGATCGATTACAGAAAGCTATCGGAAGATTTGAGAAAGAGAGTCGAGAATCAAGGTAAGATTTTATACTTTATTTGCTATCGTGCTCAAGAGCGTCTTTGCGCTTTCCTGTGTCTCATTTTCATTTCCTCTGAGGCAGATTACGGATTCGCCAGCATATTTGTCACAAACCAAGGTTGTTTTCCTATGAGAATTTACCATTCACGGTTCTAAAATAGAGGTATTGCAAACCCCGTCAGAGTGAAGTTAGTGAAAAATTTTGTGTTCTGACGTTTGCGTACCCTCTACGTAAATTTGCAATGTAATAAACTCCCGGTCTCACCGAGGGTAATGGCGAGCTCTCGAGTTCCAACATTAACGCGGATATCGCCAAAACACGTGTAAACGCACTTCAGTAAAAATCGATATCCATGCAAAAATGAACTCTACAATAAGGAATGTCTTTGCAATTTTCTTTTGCTTGAATTACCAAACGAAAGATTAAATTTTTTTCCAGCAAAAGTAAGTAATTTGTAATTAGTATATTAAGTGTACAAACGAATAGTTGCTTGCGGCAGCTAAATTTTCAAACAGAGAAAGCATGCCGCATGCATGTATTTAAACCAAATGTTTCTACGTAATTCGCTTTTTCGCTGTGAAAGATGCGACTTGATTCGCTTAAAGTGACATCTTTGTTTATGTTGTAGTTCAATTTTATCCTTGGTCCAAATTTTATTTTCCTTTGTTTCAAACTCATTATCATACATTAACATGACCGACAACAAAGGAAAATAAAATTTGAACCAAGTATAAAATTGAACTACAACATTTACATTCATGAATTTACGGTAGGGTGCTTCATTAACTAATACCAGGTTTATAAACATCTCATTGAGATATTAGGCCGCTTTTGGTGTAACGAAAGAGATAGTGGAGAAGTTACTTCCTATCTCGCTTCGTTAAGTATAATGTTCGTTCCAGTCTAACCTATTCATTTTTACAAGCAGTATGCAATTTCGTAACGACGTCTCGAGAACTCTTGTTACTGTGAATGTCTTTCCTGAGCAGGGAGAGTTCTTCGCTCCTGGAATGGTTTGAAAACTAATGCCGAAGGGTTGATCGATAAAAAACGAATTTTTAAAAAGCCAGTAGCATTTCAGACTCGAGATAGTGAAGACGGCTAGACTAAAACGTAATAAAAGAATGCAACAAAACTCGCGATTGGCTGCAAAAATTTAGATGTAAAGTGAGCGTTGCTTTAGGGAATTTTACCCACCGATCACTGTAATCGACGTAAATCGCCAGATGTGTTCGCCGTAGCGATTGCGATGTTCGTCGGTCGCAGATTAAGTTCGCCTTGATTCGCTTGGTGTCCTTGTTATCACGATGTCTCGCACCGAAAAAATTGGCTGGAATCAATTAAAGTACTTTTCAAAATGGTGTGCAATTCTTTGAAGAGTTTCAAAATGCCGTGATGTGTGTGCATGTATCCAGTTTCGACTGAATAAATTTTCGGGCGCTTTTTTTCAACAGTTGTATTCTCGGCAATGTGGGTTTGTTCTCGGTTTAACACTTCATGTAGATCAAAACGTTATAAACGAAAAGGACGGTTCATGTGCTCCGCCAGTCATCAATCGGTTTTATCGTTCGTAAGCAATTAGCAAAACGGCTATCCTTACGTCCAATATTAGATTATCAGAAACTGATGTTTTTTTCCCTTTTCCGCAATTGAAGGTCTAAAAATACTCGCTTCGTGTGTGTAAACAAAAGCTCACGTTACCACAATTCGTTCTTTTTCCAATTTTCAAGCTAATTGTAATCACTATTGAGGAGTTCCTCCAAAAGTAATTTTGGATTCAAATTTACTATTGGAGTGGCGGCAAAATGTGAATTACGTATCATAGCACTGCCACATCGCCGGCTGCTGTCTTCTTTTCCTTCCCCTCGGCACGAAGGTTACCGGGGTGGTAAGAGCCCAAAATTTTGATTGGAGCGAATTTTAAACACGTTGCCGCCATTGGTGGCCATGTTGTTTTGGTTTTCGGAAAGCAGGTGGTCGTGTAAGCGGCTATCTTCTCAGGATAAACAATGAGATCATTTCTGAGCAATATTCGTCTTTGCGGTTAGGCGAGGAAAATTGATATGAATTTCTGCGAACCAATGGAATTAGAGCGCGCAGTGTTGTCGCCAAACCGTTGGAAATCGCCGTGGATCCACGCCATGTTTGGAAAGATTTCACTGTCAAATATTCAACGCTACACCTGAAGCAGGCCGACTTTGGTTTATGAAAATATTTGCGAGCTGTACAATTGCTGTGGTGACCTGTTCAGAGAAATGGGAATCGTATTTGTACGGGAATCAATTTGACATAATTTAGTATTCATGGTCGACTTGCTGTGAATTTACCGAAAGCAAACCCATATTGAGATTTTTCGGTGCTCGATCAGACTAGAAGGACAACTTTTGCTTGGTCTAAAAATTCATCGCACCGAGTCAAAATACAGGAAAATGAACTTGATCGAAAAATTGCTCCGAAAATCTCCGCGTAATGGAGGTACGGGTCAGTAAATATCTACGGCGAGATCGCCTTGAATATTTAATAAAACCAGCTACATTTGTTCATTTGTGACTTATATTGGCGTCAGTATTTTGTTCAGTGTCTCTTTTTGATCGTAATTATTTTTTATTCTTGTTGCAGAATTGGAGATAAAGGTGCAAAAAGATAACTTCGAGAAGCAAAGCTACGCTATTAAAAGTGATGCAGATTTGAAAGTGGCCGAGGTACAAAGTCTTCTGGAGGCTGAGAGAGATCACTTCAGAACCGAGGTAAGGTTTTTTGACGGTTTAAGAATTTAAGAACGTTTGCTAAATTGAACAAAAATCGTCCCGCTTCAAATCTGGAAAGTTGTTTTCTCACACAAAGAAACAAAAATTGACTATTCTAAATAAAAAAAATTCATTTAAAAAAAACCTATTTCTTAAAGGGATTACGGAATTCGAAGCATTCATCGTGAAATGATGGTTTGGGGAGTTCTGGTTATTCTCGCTGAAACATATCACGTGAACCGAAATTTGTGGGTTTCCAATTTGAGTCGTTCGAGGAATGGTTTGAAATTACACTTGTTTATCAGATCTGCAGAATATAATTATTATTCAGAAAACTCAGTGCGGCCGGCTGTGACAGCTTCAATTCTGCCTCCTTTTAATGGTACTAAATTCATCTGGACTACGTGGCATGGTAAAAAAAAACAATTTGATGTTCCCACTATTTCAGCTGAGCGAGTTCTATGAGAAAAATTTTGCCGTTTCTTTGTATCAAATGAATTGTTTTTAAAGTCACCCACTGCTTCCCTGTATTTCTTGGTTTCTCTTCCATCTTGATTTTTTCCCTTTTGCTTTGAGCTTACAGTAAATCAGTATTTATAGAGAATTCGTTTGCAGATGGCAATCATGGTGTAGAAAACATAATACCTTTTTCTGGCCCCTGAATGAAAACTTTAAGATGGTTCTTAGAAATATTCGGTCAATCTTGTAATGAAAAACCTTATATATTAGCAAAAGATTTGTTGACACAATAACAAGGACAATGTTTGTTGTAGCCGGATCAAAAGTTTGAAGTGAAAGTTAAACAGCCTACACCACGTCTTTCATTAAAGATCTCTACTAAGTTTCAACTAAGCCTGCAGTTTACGAGACAATTTCACAAAACCGGCCACAATGTATGAAAAGAAGTGTATTTAATAGTGATTCTTAATTTCGGTCCCACAAAATTATGGTAGCCCGGCACATATGAGGTATAAATTAGCTTTTTCTTTCTTGCGTCAACTGAAAATATGATATTTTCAGTTGACGCTGATGTTTACTTTTAATGTTATATTCCATGTATAATTTTTTTTCCATTTTATTCATGTTGATTTCAGACTTAATGAAAGAAGAAATTACATTAAAACCATGTTTTATTTCATTTTGTGCATCAAAAATTGTTTTTCTCGCTATCTTCCAGCGAGTGTAAATATTTCCATGTTTTGTAAACTGAACTAAGGGGTTCAAATCAACTTAATGTCATCACCGCGTACAAAGACATAAGTGTGTAGGTTTTTAAAAATCTTTCATCTCTCAAATTACACATACAGCTGTACTAAGGAACATAACTGTAAATTTCTTATATCAAGTTTGCTTGGTCTATCAAATATGAAGTTACTCTTTCGATATTGTTTATTTTCAAGCAATTTTACGTTATAAAACAGTCTACTAATAATTATAGATATTATTTGGAAGATATTTTACAAGGTAGACTCGCACGAAGGAATAAATATATTTGTAGGCTTCATTTTACCGTAATACTCAATTTTATGTTTGTATAACAGATGTAGAGCTATTTTTACCCATGGAAATTCTGTTAATAAACCGTTATTATTATTATTATTATTATTATTATTATTATTATTATTATTATTATTATTAGGATTAAAGTAAAAACAAAAACAAAAACAGATGGACACAGGGTGACCTCAATAGTAACTCGATGGCGGGCATTTGACAGTTGAGAGTCGCCGAAGTGCGGCTTTTTGAAAAGTTGAGTTTAGAACCCTGTAAGAGTGCTTGGCGTCTTATTTCTCCAGACAGTATCGTACGTCAAGATCACTGATAAGAAAAACGGTTCGACCCATGATTAGCGAAGCCGATCAAACATCAATAATTTTTGGAGTGGACTGCGGTATCCATAGGATGGTGGATTACCTCCAGTAGTTCTTTTGTTATAGATGGAATAGATGTAAACGGTAGTGTCGGGTTAAAGAAAGGGCCGTGAGCACAATTAAAGCTATTGACCGAGTTTGAAGTTTTTTCTAACACGCAATTAGTATTTGGCTCTGAACTCCTAATACACTTTCCTTCTTCTTGGGATAAGCTCAGCTTTTTTTACTCAACTCAATACAATTCAGCTTTATTCTATTCTGACCGGAAAATGCTGTGCACCAGCTGATAAAGGTGCTGCTAAAGGTGACACTACTAAGCTGTCAATCTTCTTGCATAGTCATCATTCTATTTCAACCAGCGAATCACGTTAAGTTACGTACGACAGTTCCTGCGTACTGTGTATGCGCCTTCGAGTTGTTTACGCCGTTACAAAATCATTTTCTACCTTAAATTTTATACTTTTACAGACAAGATCAGCCAGAACAGTAACAAGATTGATAATATAAAAATTATAATCAACTTATTGACAGAATTAGAATTATAATTGAAAAGATATCTTAAGAGAAAATAGCCTTAGAACACTGTTACATAACAACAAAATAAACAGGAAATTCGGAGAACAACAACATTAAATAAGTCTAAAAACACACTTCATGAAAATTCTTGCTCGATTTCAATTTTGTCTCTTAGCAACCGTGAGGAATCTTTGTTAATTCTAAAATGAAGCTATTCGGTTCTTTTGTCAGATTGAAAATTTACGCAAAGAGAAGGAGAACCTCGCTAAGACGCTCTTCGATGAAAGAAGCCAGCGGTGCGTCCTCGAAGGAATGCACCATGCATCAGTAGAGGCAGCTGTACTCATAGAGAGACAGAAAATCACAAGAAACGAAGAGCGAGAAAAACAACGACTGCAAAGAGCTCTCGATGAAGAGCGGAGACGATCCTGGACAGTAGAACAGCAAACGAAACAAGAATACGAGAGAGCGTTAGAGGACGAGAAAAAACGCACGACACTGTTAACAGAACTCGAACGCGAGGGACTGGAAAAGTCTCTACAGGAGGAGAAACGGCGAATCAGCGAGCTTGAGGAGCGTTTGGTGAAATCCCCCTGTCACGAGAGATATACACAGACGATAACCATGTTCGACGAGCCAGATTTTCCTCGCATGCCGCCAGGAACAAACCAAACGGAAACACTCTATAACGTGTTACTTGCGGAGATTATGTCACTGCAGTTGCTATACCAAATGCAAGATCTCTCTCACGCTTGCAACGCCGACGACCCGAAGTCACGCGATAGCGGTTGTGCGGAGTACGAGGATGAGGTCATTCACTCGGTGAGCTCGAGCGTTTTGGAAAAAGGAGGACTTTTATTGAATAACTTGAGAGGCAGGCAAGGAGGCGCCAGTCGGTTTTCGTTAACGAGCACCGATTCCTTACGAGAGTTGTACTTGCTACAGTTTCCGCCTTCACCGAAACTTTCCCGAGCATCGCACAAGACAGAGTCAGTTCCGATCATTCATTTAAAGAGCTCGTTGCCCGAACTTCATTCCGATTCGAACAAAAGCTTCTTGTCGACAGATTGCGACGGACCGAGAGGACAAGACGGAACATCGAGCTCCAGCATGGAGTCTTTTCTGGAAGAACCGCTGAGCCCGCGTAGTCGGCATCGACCTTGTGACAGCGGCTGCAGTAGTCAACATAGCGACTCAGACCACTCCCCTGGGGCAGGTATGCGGAGCCAGCCAATCGACATCGTAGGACGCACTCGAGCCCTCAGTAACCCTGTCAATCGATTCGATGCGAGTGCATGCGTACCACTAGCTGAAGGGGAAGATGAAGATTCTGATCTGGCCGAACCAGACGAGATCCAAACGGTGAAGAAAAAAGTCGTCCATCTGGAGAATGATTTGTGCCGGTTGAAGACAGAGTTGGACGCGGAGACGATGAACTTTTTCTCAGAAGTCTTTCGTGTGGAGGTGCCTTTCTTGCGAGAAGGAGGTGAGTCCTTAGAATTCTCACACAGACACCAGAGAACAGAAATTTCACTTTTGTTTTATTACTGACTATGAAATATGTCCTTGTGTTTGCATTGGCCGTCCCACAAACACATACTATTTTCAAACTAATAGCTCTGAGTGCAGTTGCCTGTTCCACGCGTTCATTTAATGATACAAAGCGCGGCAGTAAACGGCGCGAAAATAGCTGGGGAATGAAAAAAAAAGAAAAAAGGAAAGTTCTGGTCCGGACGTGACCCGACCCAGACCTCCGTCGTTTCGCTCCGCCGTTACTGTCATTTACTATTTCGCCCCGTTTTACCAACTGAATGCCCGGAAAAGGCTATGAACACAAAAAGTCCCTCATCGCCGAAGAAGGAAATTTTTAAGATTAATTTCCTTTATACCGAGAAGGGTTAGAATTTATGTGAGAACAGCACATCAGGGATGACGGAATTACATAATGTTTACTTTGTTGATTTCAGAGCTGTCCCGTCTCATGAGACGTTTGTTTGAAGGCGTCAAGGAAAAACTGCTCTATCGAATATGCGCCGGTGAGTTTTCATGTACTTGGAGTGTATCGTTTTACTAATTTTTTTTCCTTTTTTTTTTTTTGACGTTCCCCGATCCTGTTTAAAGTTCAGCGTAGTTTGCGTACTCTGTAAGGGACTTCAACACTTCTATTTAATACAAGGGGAAAATACACCAGCCGGCGTTAACGTCACTGTACCACCGAGTTTATCAAAGGGATACCGCAATTGTTCCTCTAAGCTCTTCTCCCCGCCCTTTCTCCCTTCTCCCCCGCCCTTTCCTAAACAAAATGTTTTTAGTATTTGGTGCATTGTTATTCATCCTGGTTAACAAGCGTCTCCATGCAAAATGAGCTTGTATTTGAAAGCTACTAAGTTTCAAATATCATAAGGTTTCAACCAAGGAGATGCTCACATCTTTATTCAATTTGGGCGAAAATTACGAGGAAAGGTGATGAATTGTTTGTTTGCTTTGTCTTTGGTTTTTTTCTTGACTCTCTGCAAGTTTTGGATCAACGTTAGCATTTCAGAAACTGCGCACCTACCCCTCTACCAACTCAAGAATAGTCAACAGATGACAAATTATTGTTAGTGTCGGGTCAGGGAAGGGGTGGGTGTGTAATTGNAAGCAAGACAGTCATGAGCTGCCTTCTTGTGTTACAAAATAGACGTGATACGGAAAAGAACCCCGGCTCAACCACGACTGAGTTACCTACAGTTATTCACGTGCCGTCAAAGGTATGTTACCGCTTGTTTTTAAAGACCGGTTATTATTGATCGTCGGGAAAGGGAGGGGGGGAGGAATCTGGTTATGGTCACGTCCCAATAAAATGACCTAGTACCCCACTTGACTGTAGTATTGTAATGATCCCCCATTGATAGTCACTAGGCCATTTTACAGTTGTGTACTTAGTTGCCAAGCCTTTGATTAGGAATGAGGCTGAAGGTGGCCTTGTTTTGATAGAGACCAGTATTTAGTTAGTATGATAACAAAGTAATTTACATTTGAAAAGCACCAACGTTTGTATCATAACAAGGTCACCCTTAACCTCAATCCAGTTCAAAGGCTTGGCAACTGAGCATGCAACTGTAAAATTGACTATTCTCTTTAGTCCCCTCTTTAAACTCTGTTAGTGACGACAAATCCCCCAAATCCTGCGGGAGGGGGGGGGCACCCCGGGCGAAAAAAACTGACCGGTCCCTTCTTTGAAATTTATTGTGACGCGCTTAAAGTTGACTTGTAATGTAATACAGGCCAGACAGCGTATATCTTTTGCAAGAAAAATACGGCCATAGCTTTGGAAATTACAAATCTATCCCGTGCAAAACTATTTCACTTATTGTGGCCATAGTTTAAGACGGAAATAACGAATCTATGCCGTGCAAACTTAGGGAAGTCTTGCAGGATTCTGCCAGCGCTTTGAAAACAATTAAAAGTGTTCTCTGCTTTCTTTTACTAAGCCGTAAATCGTTTATTTTTATTTCTCACTTTCTTTAGGTTGATCAGCAGACACAAACAGACCCAGAGGCCATCCGATCATTAAGACGACGGATCAGAAAAGGTTAAAATCTGAATTTTGACCGTTTTTAATCTTGGGGTATGCGGAGTTGTAATGGTTTGCCCGCTAAACCTCGGAGGTTTGGGCCCGATTCTTACCTGGGTCACAATGACATACTTATTATGCTTACAATGGCTCTCTCCACCCGGGACTGTAAATAGTTACAGGCAGACTATCAGAGAAACCCGAGGTGGGGTGGGACGGGGGCAGGAGGTAAGGGAGGGTTCATGGATCAACATTCCCTATTGTTAATCCTACCGAATCATGGAAAAGCTTCGGCCGCTCAACGAGTTAGTCTGGGATGTAATCAAAACCAGAGAAAACCTAGGAGGTAATAAGAGCAAAGGGAAATATCTCTAGCACTCAATGAGAACTCAAGCCAGCTAGACACCAGTTTAAAGCGCGGGAAAACGTGGTGACTAAGTCGCGTGGGTTTAGTGTTGAATCTGATTGCTTGAGAAGATCGCGCGCGTTTTTTAGACCAATCACAGAGCGACGTAAAAGCAAACCGATCAATTCGGGTTTACTTTCGACACACGATGAAAACTGCCTTAAAGTCACTACTATTGTCGCTGTTGTAAGTTTCTTTTCCACTGATTGTGTTAGATGTAGGAGTTGGGACAGATCTGCCAATCAAAATACAACTCAGGGATAAAGAATGTCAGACAAGTTTCCAGGAACTCTCAGACCGGTGAGTTGATGGCGCAAACTCTTTCAAAAAGTAAGAACATATTAATTCGAAACCTTCACCTTTTGGCTTTTTTATTTGTTAGCGGTTGACTTACAGAGAAAGCCGTATGAATGATCCTACCGACTTTCCCTAGAAGTGTGAATGGAAGAATATTATTTACCTTTCTTTGACAATTGTAAAACCTGTTCAAGGGAACTACTAGTCTTTGATAAGGAAGACTTGTCAAAAAAGGGAAAAAACGTGGAGAGAAAATTGTTCACGATTGATGCTGTAGTCAAAACATGCTAGCAATAACATGACGGCTTAACTAAAAAATACGACTTGAGTCTAATGTACTTTTCTTCTTTCAGAGTGCCAGAGTTAAATTCCGCTCCTAAAGACGAAATTCTAAAAGTCCTGCCTAATCTGGAGGCATGGAACGACTTTCCTAACTCAAACACACACCGAACTTCTCAAAATAGTATACCTCTACAATCACGTGACCCAGACGGTGCCTCCAGTGAGGAGGAGCCAGCGGTCATTGAAGAGAACCGCGAAGAAGTCGCCTTCGAATCAAGACATGAGGATGTTATGTCTTCCGGCGAAGATGACGATTTGAAGGAAACAAAAGGAAAGAAAAAGAAAAAGGCAAGACTGTTGGCGTGTCTAAGTCCGCCCAGACTGTCTTTCCGAAAGAAATCTAAAAAAGCGTCTAGATCCGAAGCAGAGACAACCAAACTAGTGGTGAAGGAAATATAGTGTTATTTAAATTCAGTTTTTTTTTGTCTTTGGTCGGCATATTGCAAATTAATTTGACAAGGGACTCAGATGAATTATTTGAGTGTGCTATTCATTGAGGAGCATTCTATAGCTTGATCAAATATTGCCCGTGTAGTTAAAATGAAATATTCTTTCAGTTAAGTAAACTTATGGAATCAATGCGAGTTTTAAAGTAAGAAGTGTAATGATATTGAAAGGTTTTGTATTAAAAGAGATTTCAGTAAATGTAAGAGTTCGCTTATTGTGGACGAAGTTCCATGCCATACCTTTATCTGATGGTGATATGCGCGGAACCAAAGCAGAAAATGTAGCACAAGGTTTTATTTTTTCTGCCAAAAACATTTTCTTTAGTATGATGTGGCAGATAGTATTTGCTTTGCTAATGAATATTTTGAGTAAGTAAGTAAGTAAGTAAGTAATTAAGTAAGACCTTTATTTAAGTGTCACTGCGTTTAGCCTAAGAAGACTAATTGGGGACACTATAATTAACATACTTAAAAATAATTAAAAATTGAGCTCTGTGAATTTTATTTAAGTTAGGTAGAATATACTTTTTTCCCGTTTTTGTAGGTTTTAATTTTTATAGTTATGTCCAAGTTATTAGTAATAATTTAGTACCGTAAATATTTTATTATTTTGTTAAATTAAACGAACGTGAAGGCGCTATTTTTATAGCTGTTAAAAACCCGGGCTTAAAACATTATTAAAATCTAAAGGTGTATTTAAGGAATGTTTAAAACCTGGACAAACACTTTTTCCTTAAAAGAACGTAACATCAGTACTTGATATTTAGCTTTGATTTATTAAAAATAACGAAAATTTAAAATCGAAAACTTTCTCGAAATACAAACTATTTCAGTTTAAAAGATAGTTTTGAAAATAATGTGTAATATTTGTGTAACGTCATGATAGGTAAACTCTTTAGTAACAACTAAGAAAATTCCACATTTACATTATCCACAGAGGGTCTCAATGTGGTAACGGCTGTTACGATTAACGGTTAAGATTTTAGCCATTTTACGACTAACGGAATTTTTTTTTTTTTGGCCATTTTACGGCTAACGGTTAACCCCACTTAGGACACCCTATCCATATGATCGTGTCTTTTAGGTAAAGACTAGATTACTTTTCATTGATGAGGGTCTCGATGGCGATGGCTGTTACACTCAACGATTCAGATTTTGGCCATTTTACGACTAACGGCTATTTTTTTTCCCGCCATTTTACGGCTAACAGTTCACCCCATTGAGAGCCTCTCCATACAATTGTCTTTTAGATTACTGTCATTGACTCAGTCAAATGTTCCTTGTTTTGGTAGTTTTGGATGTCAGTAGCTAAGGTCATGATACAAATTAGTTTGTCTCAGAATGCAATGTCATATGAATCGATGTATCATTTGTCATAGTTAAAAGTGGTACTGGTTACGTTTTGTTGTTTGTGAAATTTCTAGAGAAAATATGAGATTTATTTACGAGAGTAATGAAAAACAGTAAGTAACACGACGAATTGAGGGGTTTTTTTTGATGAATAAAATTAGAAACAAGACCCAAAAAAATCATTTCACGTCTTCACGTCAATAGTAAAAGGAATTCAATGTGAATGATTGAGGCAGGCTGCATGAGGGAGGTATCACGCGTGGGAGCCATGTTCTCTCCCGTGTCGCGCGTGTGTTTCTTATATCCTTGCCCCGCTCCTGCTGCACGGGCCGGGCGAAACTTGCCAACTGAAGACGATGAAAGAAAAAAAGAGAGAAAATAAAATTTTAAGTTGCAAATTGCGAAAGATCACTTATAATTAAAGAATTAACAATCACTTTAGGAATTTACCTATATTCAAAAAATCAAAAGATCGCCATAGCAACATTTCCTTCTCTTAAACCCCTCCTCCCTCCCTCCC